CGTGGTGCTATCTTAGGTAGCAAGTTACCTCGGTAGAAAAAAGCTTAGGTGCAAAGTAGTAAGAGAAATGAGAGTTAAAAAGTTAAGCATTACTTCATAGAATAGTCGGAAAAAAAGTAGGTAATAGATTACACCAAAGTCTTTTGTAGTTTAAACTAGGAAATTAAAGGAATAAGTTAAAAGTTCAACAGTCTTTGATGAGTCCTCCACATATCACGCTCTGCTGTCTGCTGTCGACGACACTGCTGCAGATACCATCTCTGCTGCTGAAACTGCCAGTGATCTCTCCCAGTGCCTCGGCAACCTGCCTGAGCAGGATCCAATTGCACGCTGAGCAGGGACACCACCATGAGCCGCCAAGAGACTAGTCGACATATTGCCGAGTGACCAGGCTGGGATCCATCATGCGCCACTGAGAGACCAGGCTGGGACACACCATGAGCCGCTGAGAGACCAGGCTGGGACCCACCGTGAACCGCTAAGAGACCAGGCTGGGACACACCATGAGCCACTGAGAGACCAGGCCAGGATCCATCATGAGCCGCTGAGAGGCCAGGACGGGACTCACCATGAGCCGCCAAGAGATCATGCCATGACCCACCATGAGCCGGGATCCATCATAAGCCACTGATAGGCCAGGATGGGACCCACCATGAGCCACTGAGAAGCCAGGACGGGACCCACCATGAGCCGCTGAGAGGCCAGGACGGGACCGACCATGAGCCGCCAAGAGACCAGGCTGGGACTCACCATGAGCTGCTGAGAGACCAGGCCGGGACACACCATAAGCTACCAAAAGACCAGGTCACGGCCCACCATGAGCCGCTGAGAGAACAGGCTGGGACCAAACACGAGCCTCTGAGAGTCCACGCCGGGACCGAACACGAGCCTCTGAGAGTCCAGAAGCCTAAAGTCTGACAGAGGAGCTATAGTCAGCGTGGAGGAAGACACTATTTAAAAGCTAAAAGAGACTTGTGTTGTTGGTTAGGTGAATATATCATTTGAAGCACAACTTCAGGCCGGCCAGACAGTCAAGTTGCACAATGTATTGTTGATCCTGTACAAAAGGCCTAACAGGAAGAGAATGTCAGTTTCAAGGGAACTTCATTACAGGTACCTGAATCATGGTATCTCTTCCAGAAAACCAGACGATGAAGTATAGAACTGGAGCCCAATCTTTCTGCACTTTGTAAGTTTTTATTGACAGAGTTGCAATTTACAAGCATATACCTCCAAACCCAAACATCACAGCTTCAGTCTGTTTCTACATACATAACTGGATACTAAGTGAACCATGAATTAATTTCCACCATCTGAATACAATTTATAAACTCAGCTATTGGGCAATTGACATTCCTAATGTTCACTTACAGAAGGTTTTAAGTCAGCCATGATTCAATGTCACACAGCTAATCTGAAAATGGCCTTTGGGTCAGATGATGCAATGGAGAGATTGGAGATGAGATCATCAGCCTGCTGTGGAAGCTGACTCCATTACTGAGGATGGTGTCACAAAACAGCAGCAACTATGTGAAGAGCAGAGCAAATATAAATCTTTGTTCAAAGTCCATGGTGACTTTCCTCAAGGGGAAAGAAACAAGGTACACATGGTATAGAATGAGGCTAGGCTATAAATGGAACAACAGCAAAGAGGATTGCTGGATTGAAGATGGGTTTTGAGTCAGGATCATAAATGACAATTGGAAATATGCAAGATTGATTTGTGATTGGACGATGTCTAGAATTAAGGGAAAAAAGGAGGAATAATTAACAGAAGCAGCTGCAGTGATGGTCTCAAGCTTAGAAATAAAAGAAAAACTTTTTGTTTTTAAATTGGTAATGAGCGTAAAGACAGAAGAAGGAAGTGGTTGGTCATTGAGAAAGTAATGCTTGTGTTGTCCTCCAGGATAATTTCACAATAGTAAGCAATTGGGAGAAGAAAGTGAGGCACAGTCAAGGCTGATGGTCAATTTAAAGTTGATTATATAACTGAATCAGTTGCCAACCATTAGAGTGGATGTTTTACACATTGTTTTTCACTATGTACGTGGAATAGGGGTCAAGGTGAAACACAATTTTAATTATGGAAGCCTGGAGAAGTTCAAGATCCCAGGCTGCCCCACTGACACCACTCCAGCGTCAAAGATGAAGAAAGAAAAGAAGAAGTTAAAAAAAACAAAAAGGAGATAGAGAAAAGGAGGCTACCAGCCTGCAAAAGGGAACAGATTACATAACGTCAGAGTAAGGATTTGCCCAGTTTAGGACAGAGATGAGGGATAATTTCTTCTCTCAGACTATAGTGGACCTTGTGGAATTCTTTACTGTAGAGGGCTATAGATGTTGTGTCTTTCAGGCTGAGATAGACAGATTTGGATCAGTGAGGGAACCAGGGTTTTTTGGGGAAAATGCAGAAAAGTGGAGTTGAAGATTATCAGATCAGCCATAATCTCATTGAATGGAGAAGCAAACACAATGGGCCAAATGGCCTACTCCTGCCTTTATGTCTTATGGGTCAAATTGCAAGTCTGCTTTCCTTTCCTCATATTTACTTTGCAATATCCATGTGGAACATTTGATTCCTTAATCAGTATAAATTAATTTAATGTTTATGAAAACCCCTCCCCACTGTGTTACACCACTTTAGTAATTAAAGACATGAAGGCACAGAGTCTTGGAATAATACAGCATGGAAACAGGCCCTTTGGCCCAAACTGGTCCATGCTGACCATGGTGGCCACTCATCTAGTTCCAGTTGCCTGCATTTGGTCCATTCCCCTCTAAACCCTTCCCATCCATGTACCTATCCAAATGCTTTTTAAATGTTGTTATTGTACCTGCCTCAACCACTTTCTCTGGCAGCCCGTTCCATAGACGCACCACTCTCTGCGTGAAGAAATTGCCCCTCAGATCCTTCTTAAATATATCCCCTCTCACCTTAAACCTACGCCCTCCAGTTTTCAATTCCCCATTCCTGGGAGAAAGACTATATGCATTCATCCTATCTATGCCCCTCATGATTGTATACACCTCAATAAGGTCCCCCTCATTCTCCTATGTTCCAAGGAATAAAGTCCGATTTTGGCCAACCTCTCCCTATAACTCAGGCCTACTAGTCCTGACAACATCCTCATAAATTTTCTTTGCACATTTTCCAACGTAACTATGTCTTTCCTATAACAGGGTGACCAAAACTGCACACAATACTCCAAGCGCGGCCTCAGCAAAGCCTTATACAACTGTAACATAGCGTCCCAACTCCTCTTCTCAATGCCTCAACCAATGAAGGCCAGCAAGCTAAATGCCTTCTTCACCACCCTGTCCACCTGTGATGCTACTTTAAAGGAACTACGTACTTGTACTTCTATATCCCTATGCTCCACAACACTCCTCAGGACCTTACCATTTACTGTATAAGTCCGACCTTGGTTTGACTTTCCAAAGTGCAACACTTCACACTTATCTGTATTGAATTGCATTTGCCAATCCTCAGCCCACTTCCCCATCTGATCAAGATCCCTCTGTAATTTTTGATAACCTTCCTCGCTATCGACAATACCTCCTAATTTTGTATCATCTGAAAACTTACTAAACATCTCTTGTACATTCACATTCAGATAATTTATGTAAATAACAAACAACAAAGGTCCCAGCACTGGCCTCTGTGGCAAACCAATAGTCACAGGCCTCTTGTCCGAGAAACAACCTTCAACCATCACCCTCTGCTTCCTACCATCGAGCCAATTTCGAATCCAATTAGCTAGCTTTCCCTGGATCCCATGTGACCTAATCTTTATGACTAGCCTGCCATGCAGGACCTTGTCAAAGGTCATACTAAAGTTCATATACATACAACATTCCCTGCCCTACCCTCATCTATCGTCTTGGTTACTTCTTTGAAAAACTCTAAAAGATTCATCAGACATGACTTCCCTCACACAAATCCATGCTGACTATCCCTAATCAGACCTTGACAATCCAAATGTTGGTTGATCCTGTCCCTCAGTATCCTCTCCAATAACTTGCCTACCACTGATATCAGGCTCACTGGCCTGTAGTTCCCTGGCTTGTCTTTGCTACCTTTCTTAAACAATGGAACAACATTAGCCACCTTCCATTCTTCTGGAACTTCACCAGCGGCTAAAGGTGAAGCAAAAATCTCTGCAAGGGCCTCTGCAATTTCTTCCCTAACCTCCCACAACATCTGAGTATGGACTTGATCAGGTGCAGGGGATTTATCCACCTTAATGCCCTTTAAGACTGCAAATACCTCCTCTCTGGTAATGTGTATGCAGTCCAAAACATCTCCACTTGTTTCCCTTATTTCCTTAGCTTCCATCATTCTCTCCTCAGTAAACACTGAGGAGAAATATTTATTAAAAATCTCCCCCATCTCCTGTGGCTGCACACATAGACGTCCATGCTGATCTTCAAGGGGACCTATTCTCTCCCTAGCCACCCTTTTACTCTTAATATAGTTGTAGAACCTCTTAGGATTATCTTTAACCATATCTGCCAGATCCATCCCATACCCTCTTTTTGCTCTTTTGATTTCCCTCTTGAGTGTGCTCCTACACTTTTTGCGGTCATCTAGGGATTCACTTGAGCCCGATAGCTTAAATCTAATTGATGCCTTCTTCTTTTTCCTGACTACAGCCTCAATATCCCTTGTCAGCCTGGGATCCCTAAACCTGCCAGCTTTTCCCTTCACCCTAACAGGGACATACTGTCCCTGGACTCTTGATATCACACTTTTAAAAGCCTTCCTTTTGCCAATCGTTCTCCCATTTTAAGTTTTTTAATACTCGACTTAAATGTCAAAGTTAAAACAACAAAGCTGAGGTTATGCCTGCAGTAACACGTTCGAATAGAAAACATAACTAAACTAAACAGAAATTCTGTCTGTGTGTGAGGAATGCATGCTCCTTGCCTGTTGTCATGCTGCAGTGCTTTAGGTAATACTGCCTGAATTTTAACAACATTCTTTCTTCATGCCCTAGCTTGTTAGAAACATGCTAGAAGAAAAACAGTAGCTTCAATAAAGAAAGGTTTGCTCAATAAGTAAGCTGCACAGTGTGTAGAAGTACACGTTCAACCATCCTCCTGGTTTTATCGATGAGACCACTCACTCATTACCACTTCTGTTGACCTAGCCCTGTGTTGTTGTTGAAGGTGAGATCTCATTTTCTTCTGAAGTTGTTTTCAGTTTGTATTTGTTCAATGAAATAGATTGATCTCTGCCTGCCATGAGGCTTCACAGTTAGACTGATGTGAGCAGCTTGCTTTTTGAGGTTCTCTAGGTTTCAAATACCAAGCATACTTTTATAAACATTTTTAGAAAGTAGTGGTATTAATTACATTATATTTTTCTTTCTCTCATCTCCTCTCCCGTACCACTTCAATGACTTATTAAAATTAAAGACAAAAATCAGTAGAAAGAGATGTTTGAGCGTTGCTTTGAGCCACAAAAACTACATATATTTTTCAGATTATATGTGAGGCAGCTCACACATATGTTTCCTGAATAGTCTGAGATGTTATCTGAGATTGGTTGAATAAATTTGCATATTAACTCCATTACAACACTCAGGACCTTGTTGATGAACAAATCTATCATTTCTCATCCCCATTACTGTGTGCAAATTTGCTTGTATTAATCCACAGCTAATTCTGTTTCTTATTCTGTAGGTAGTATTGAATGCATCACATCACAACATTCAGACTATCAATACTTTTTAGGCAAATCAAAAGTCAAGTAAAGCTAGACAATTTTGGAAACATTTAGTAGGTCAAGCAATAACTGTGGGGGGGAACAGGTAAGTCTCTCCATCTTAACCACTCCTTCCCCCAATCGACCCACCTCATGACAAGTGAGAATAAGTTAAAAGGTCTAATGCCAGGAATATGACTTCAATCTGCCACCCACAATAGGTCATCTGAAAGTTACATTGTGGAGAGGCAGGATGCTTATTAACATATTCAAATTTGATTTGGCACAACAGGAAGCTAGATTGGAATTTAACTGCTGTTTCCAGGTTTCCCATGAGTTGAGAAACTTAGCAATGAAACTGAGAGGGAACTTTTGTCTCCCACAGCCCCTGATTGAAGCATGCAGCCTCTCTCAGCGCTGCTCGCCACCTTCTCTCAGAGTCCCAGTTGACATCACACCTCCCCAGCTCTGAGGTTTTTTAACTCACGCACGGGTCATCACTGTCTGGCCAACATTTGCTCCATGTTCCTAACTGCCTTTGAGAAGGTGGTGGCGAGCTGCCTTCTTGAACTACTGCAGTCCATTTGCTGTAGGTTGATCCACAATGTGTCTGATACTGGAGGGCATAAGTTTAAGGTGAGGACCAAGTGAGTTAGAGGACATTTTGAGAAAAAATATTGACTCAGGAGCTGATGGAACATGCTGCCTGAGAGGGTGGTGGAGGCAGGTGCTCTCACAACATTTAAGGAGTACCTAGACAAGTACTTAAAATATCACGGCATAGAAGGCTATGGACCACGTGCAGGTAAATCGAATTAGCACTGTGCTCTTGATAGCATCCTTTGACATTCAATGGTGTTACCATCACTGAATCCCCCACTATTAACATCCTGGAGGTTATCATTGACCAGAAACCCAACTGGACTTACCACATAAACACATTGGCCACAAGAGCAGGTCTGAGGCTAGAGACTGATGAAAGGCGTAAACCTGAAACGTCAACTTTTCTGCCGTCTGATGCAGCCTGGCCTGCTGTGTTCCTCCACCTCCACACTGTGTTGACTCTGATTCTAGCATCTGCAGTTCTTGCCTTCTCCCAGAGGCGAGAAATACTGCAGCAGATAACTCACCTCCGGACTCCTCAAAGCCTGTCCACCATCTACAAAGCACAAGTCAGGAGTGTGATGGAATACTCCCCACTTGCCTGGATGAATGCAGCTCCACCAACACTCAAGAAGCTTGACACCATCCAGGACAAAGCAGCCCGCTTGATTGGCACTGCATCCACAAGCATCCGCTCACTCCACTACCAACGCTCAGTAGCAGCAGTGTGTACTATCTACAAGATGCACTGCAGAAATTCATCAAAGATCCTCAGACAGCACCTTCCAAACCCATAACCGTTTCCATCTAGAAGGACAAGGGCAGCAGATATATGGGAACACCACCACCTCCAAGTTCCCCTCCAAGCCACTCACCATCCTGACTTGCAAACATTTTGCTGTTCCTTCACTATAACTGGGTGAAAATCCTGGAATTCCCTCCCTAATGACTTTATGGGTCACCTCACAGCAGGTGGATTGCAGTAGTTCAAGAAGGCAGCTTGCCACCACCTTCCCAAGGGCACCTAGGGACGAGAAATAAATGCTGGCTCAGCCGGCGACACCCACATCCCACAAATGAATATATATAAAAAAACTCTCTCTCTGCATTATGTCAGAGTGACTATTGTCTGACCTCTCCCCTCCAACAATGAAATTCAGCCCTCAATGAAGTACATTTGATGATTTCACATGACTTTGGAGTCATGGTCATCACTGTAATTGTGCTAAATATAAATATATCTGTGGGGCAATCTTATATGGAGCTGAATGACATGAACTGTAGCCAGAAATCTATAGAATTGTGTGAAAAGTCAGGCAAAGCTTTCTCGATGTCAGAAGCAACTCAATGACTTTTGAAACAGACTTCCGGGCGTGAAGCTGAGATTCCGACAAGGGAGCAACAAGATGCACATCAGGGACATTATTGTTTGTTAACAGCCTAATTAATAGTGAGTCTCACCTCCTGAATGTACAGTTCCTGTTCTAAGACTACTATTCTTCTAAGGAAACTACACATCAACATGATAGTCAGCGTGGTTAACCTGGCAACTCCACCTTGCCACTTGCTCCTTCAGACCATCACCTTGGACGCCCAGCAATAACATTTGTGGGCACACTCCAGTGAACTAGCCACATAGGCTAGTTCACACTAACCCACATCATAGGCATGTGACTCCTGCCAGCCTCTCAGGGCTATCATGGCACTTATTCAATCCATCTACAGGAAGCTTCTGTGCTTGACAGTTGCACTTCAGGATGCACTGGCAGCTCCCATTGAGAGGCTGCGGTAAGGACACTATGCACATAGGGATAGGCACCCAGCTCATGGATTGGAGCAGGCTGTGTCTCAGGGTTCCTCACTCGCTCATTCTCTTAATGTTCAATCATTTAGCACCTACCTGCATGCTCACAGCACCACCCCTTGCCCGCATCTCAGTGCAATCACAGAGTCAGGCATTTTGTCTTGCTGGTCAGCAGTTCCCAGTCAAAGGGCAAACACTTTGCTCTTCAACATATTTCATTGTCAATCTCAATTCTGTATGGTGTTCAAGAAGCTCATGTGGCAAACAGACTGCATGGGCAGCAAGCAAAGCCTTAGGGGAGTGGTTCGCAGTGAAGTTCATGAAAGTACCTGTCAATGATGGGATCTCAGCACGTTAAGTTATTGACAACCTCTCAGATTAGTCAAGGGACCTGGCATAGTCAGGTGTCCGTCTGGTCAGGGTGAAATCAGACCATGGGTCCACACCTCTACAGTTCAGGAAGTGAGTCACAGACAGCCCTGTGGATTCTTAGAGGCTGGTCTTGCGATTAGAGCTGACACAGTCAGTGGGATCTATAGGCATCAGGTCAGGGGTCTGGACACTTCTCATTAATGACTGACAAGGTATTGGCCATAGTCGGTCATTGTGTCCATCCAATTATGGCAGGGGTAAGGGGCAATGAGGGGAAGATCAAGGGAACCAGTGCTGCCAGATTGAGACTGAGGTAACCTATTCATGGACATTTCGAGGTTTTGGAGTTTTCAGGCTGGTAGGGAGAGGCGGAGCCAACTGTGCATGTAAGGAAGGAAATGGTAAAGCATGGATGAGGAGCAGAAGGAGGTTCATCGATGGTAAGGATCACCTTGGATTGTTGGGGAGACAGTGTATGAGCCACGACCGCCTCATACGCTGTGAGGGAAAGTGGGCAGCTACAGGCTCATATGGACAAGTTGGGTATGGACCCGAGGAATTGTGAAGCCTATGGGGTTTCTTGGAATGGCTACCAGAAAATGGATTTTCTTACTCAGGACCTCACTGACACATAAAAGTAGAGCCTGGGAATTATTTTTCGAGAAGTGCTTGCTGTTGCCTTCCGTCACCCTAGATATTGCAACTATGTGATGGGAAAGAAAATGGCTGCAACCTCACTCAGAGTGGGAGGAGCAAATGCCTCGACCAATGAGGGAGGTCCTAGGTGGTGTACAGCATACAGAGAGGAGGCTGCAAGATCCAACAAAGTGAAGTCCATAAGACCGTAAGAAATAGGAATAGGAGTAAACCGTACAGCCCCTAAGCCTGCTATGCCTTTCAATAGGATCATGGCTGATCTGAACTCCTTATATCCACTTTCCTGCCCTTTTCTGATAACCCACTTTCAGATCAAGAATCTATCCATCTCAGCCTTAAATATACACAAGGACCCTGCCCTGGCAGCTCTCTGTAGTAAGGAGTTCCAAAAACTCTCAACCCTCTGAGAGAAGAAATTTCTCCGCATCTCATTTTTAAAATCAAGGGGTGCCAACACTCCACATTGACCCATTCCCTGTGAGGATACACACCTATGAGTCTCCAATCCCTGGCAACTGTTATAGACTTCATGACACTAAACACTGTTGTTAGTAATGGCCGTGTACCTAGTTATCAGAGACCTTTCTAAATCATAGAATCCCTACAGTGTGGAAACAGGCCATTCAACCCATCGAGTCCACACCGACCCTCTGAAGTGCATCCCACCCAGACCCACGCCCTGCCCTATCCCTGCATTTCACACTATGGGCAATTTATCATGGCCAATCCGCCTAGCCTGCACATCTTTGGACTGTGGGAGGAAACCAGAACACCCGGAGGAAACCCACGCAGACACGGGGAGAACGTGCAAACTCCACACAGGCAATCACCCGAGGCTGGAATCGAACCCGGGTCCCTGCTGCAAGTCCTGGGGAAGTGGACTTCCATACTCTTCACTACCCCAGCCACCAGCACCTCCAGGTCCTTGGCATCAATTTCCCTTTGTCTGCCATGTCTGGGGAAAAGGTGACATACCAGGGAGGGCAGCTTCAGAATGCCAGTGCTCATCCCAGTGAGCAACAGTCCTTGAAAGATGACATAAGGGATGCCAGTAGTTTCAAGGAGATCTGATGAGAGGTGAGTTCTTCTGGCTGTGGGACTGTGGGAGGAAACCAGAGCAACTGGAGGAAACCCACGCAGACACGAGGAGAATGTGCAAACTCCACACAGACAGTCACCCGAGGATGGAATCGAACGCGGCTCCCTTCTGGCTATAGTGAGATAGTAAAATTGGACTAGCATCAGATAAGGGGTATTAAGATTAATGATCGGCTATGATCATATTGAATGGCAGTTGGATGGCCTACTCCTGCTCCTATCTTCTTTGTTTCTATATAAGAGGAATGTCTGGTATGTAGTTAACTAAATGAAGTTGGGATGATGAGGTGAAAAATTATACTAGGCTTCACAGAGAGAAACCTTCCATGAAACCTGACAAAATTGACACTTAGCCAAAACATCAAATGATTTAGCCCAGTGTTTAAATAGCATGCTTATAGTATAATCAGATTTTGAGTTTGAGGTGGCATCACGTAACAGGAACAAAATTGAATGTATTATAAACTTAACTTGAACTCTAGATTGCAATCTTGAACTCAATAACACATATCTTTTCTGATGAAGGGTCTAGGCCCGAAGCGTCAGCCTCTCTGCTCCTATGATGCTGCTTGGCCTGCTGTGTTCATCCAGCCCTGCACCTTGTTGTCTCCAGATGATTTTAAATGCCTGCTTATCATTAAAAGATTTAACAGCCTGATTGATATGAGACATTTTCCAATCCCATAATAATAAAACTGGGAAATATTCAGTCTAAGATAACAAGGTGTAGAGCTGGATGAACACAGCAGGCCAAGCAGCATCAGAGGAGCAGGAAGGCTGACGTTTCGGGCCTAGACCCTTCTTCAGAAAAATATTCAGTCTAGTTGGCAGGTGAAGAAATCGCCAGTCGCAAAATCAGGAAGCACTCTGAAGCAATAAAAAAAAGCTCAGCAGTGTACAGTGAAAATCCCTTCCATCATTTCTGGTTGCAAAATCGGCAACAATACATAATGAAATTTACTTGTGGGAGGGATATATCATTTCTATTGCATTTGTTAAAGGGAGCTATCATTGTTGCACCAGGGCATATGCACCATTCCGATAAGGATGGCACTAAAAATAGTATTATGGCTTGAAATATATTGGCTAAATGATTATTAGATCTTGTGTTGCTGCACATACCAAGATCTCATAGCAATAAATCTTATTTTCTAAATCATTTTACTTTATGCCATTTTGATTTCCTTCTATTTTATCTTGCTTTAAAGTATATGATGCTTGAAACTGGAAGTGACCCCTTTGGAGAGCAAGGGATACACGTAATAACAGCTCAATAGAAGGTCTTGCTGTTCTGATTTGCAGGAGCTTGTTTAATTAACTGAAATTATACATTTAAGCATCTTCAGCATTCCATAACTCATCTTTTTAGCAGGGAATTCCCAGATCAGTTTCTGGTCAATGCTCAGTTAGCTGATCCCAGCCAGAGCAACAGATTGGGAACTAATTAACATCAGCATCCCTAGTTTAGAAAGAGGAGAATTTAGTCAGGATTTCCTCTATTGATCACTGTCCTCAATTCATACTGGAGTGTGTTGTCATACTGGACAAAATTGTAATCAAACTCTGCAATCATTTGTCTATGGGTAAATAACCTTGTCACAGTCAGGGTTCAAATGAAAAATGACTGATTTGACAAGGTAACTGAGGAGCTGTTTTATTCCCTGTGGAACTACTGCCCAGAAAAAATTCAACACCTTTAAGAGAAAAAGCAAAAAAGTTTGAATTTGCTGTTTAGTTTACACAGATTGGTGTTTATTTTTGATACAAAGAAACTAAAACCATGTAACATCCAAACAGGGTTTTTAACATCATATATTGATTCTTGTCTTAATTTCTTCTTTTGTTCTTCTACAGATGGAGCTCGGAGGAGCTAATGCCAATGACGACATAGATGCCATGTTCAGCAATCTCCTAGGAGAGATGGATCTGCTGACGCAGGTCAGTTGTGTTCTCAAATGAGCAGCCTGTAGCAAGCTAATGGCCAACCTCAATTAACAACAAAGCTGATTAGTGGGGCATTAAGATTCCACCAGGAGGGAAAATGCTTTTTCAGGATGTTTTCATTCTGCTTTGAAAGTGAAAGCATTGCAGCCCACACACACTAACTACAAGTTAGCCCCACCATCCACAGTTCTTTTGGTTCTTATTTAGTAAAGAGATGCCTTTTTGATTGATCACTTTTTGCATTGGATAGGACAAAAAGCTGGACAATTTAGAAGTTACTTTTGCTACATTGACATCAGATGCATGTAACATTTACGTAGTAATTTCTTTTTAACAAATAATTCAGATGATTTTACATATTCAATTCTAACATGCCACTTAATGCATCTATTTATTCTAATTCCATTTTCCAGCATTTGGCCCATAACCTTGTATGCAATGGCATTTCAAGTGCTCACCCAGACATTACTTCAAAGTCTTGAAGGTCCCTACCTGTACCATTCTTTTAGGTGCTGAGATCCAAATACCCACCACCCTCTTACCTTAAAACTGCAACCTCAAGGTATTAACCCTTCTCCTCAGATTCCCTGTCAGCCTCCTCTGCTCTAAGGAAAACAATCTCAGCCTCTCTAGTCTCTCTTCATAGCTGAATCATTCCAGTCCAAGCGACCTCTGAGAAAATCGCCTTTGCACTCTCCCTAGTGCACTCACATCCTTCCTCAGTGTGGCACTGAATACTCCAGCTAAGGCCTAACTATCATCATATACAGCTCCATCATAACTTCCTTTGTTCATGTATCCAATATTATTCTTTGATTTTCTGTGCACCAGACTGAGGGGCCATTTTCTGAGTGCCCACCACCAGCAAACAGCCTTTACAATGCAAAAGCAAACTTTAAAAGTTCATTGTCAGGGTGGAGCTGTTGATAGCAAGCCATTTATTGTCCATCCTTAGATGCCCTTCAGATGGTTGTAGCATGCTTCTTCTTAAACCTCTGCAGCCCACATACAAAAGTGTTTCCTCAGTATGTTAGGGAGGGAATTCAAGGGCAAAATGTAGTGGCTTTCTTATTTCAAAAATATTCAAAAATATTTCAAAAATCATTTATAAATACATACAAGTCCCCTAAATCATATCTGTACAGTCTTTGCAGAAAAAATGAGAATTTTGACATTTCTCACAGTTTCTCTACAGTTGCAAGGAACAAAGACATTTTCTACTTATGCAGGAAACTATTTATATTCGTTTGGAGACACTAAGAGGGACTGATAACTGAATGGACCCCTGTTAAACTTTCATAGAAAAACCCGAGATGGCGGTCTTTCTCCCCCACACCTTGGAAGCAGCTACTCCAAGCTTTAGTGTGTTCCTCAGCACGTAGTCCTGGATGTTGGAATGTGCCAGGCTGCAACACTTGGTCGAGGTCACATCTATGCACTGGAAGGCCAATAGGTTTCTGTCAGACCAAAGAGTATCTTTTACCGAGTTGATGGTCCTCCAGGCACAGTCGATGTTTGTTCCAACGTGTGTTCTGGGAACAGACCGTAGAGCACAGAGTCCTGCGACACAGAGCTGCTTGGGATGAACCACTTCATCACTCTCCAGACTTCCTTTGCAAAGGCACATTCCAGAAGGAGATGAGTGACAGTCTCCTCATCAGCACAGCCGCTTCGAGGGGAGCGTGCGGTGGCTCACAGAGTGCAGGCTTATATGAAGGATCTGACAGGATCTGTTCTCTCCACCAGCCAAGCGACATCTTGGTGCTTGTTGGAAAGGTCTAGCACTGAGCCATTTTGTCAAATGATTTTGACAGTCTCTCAGGGAATCATGCAATAGGATCCATCTTCCAGTTTTCCCGCAGGGTCTTGAGGACCACTTCCTGATGGACTTATGGTGAAAGGTCGAAGGACAGGTGTAAGCATTTCCCCTCAGGAGGCTGATGGAGCTGTCCTACCCCCCCAGAGGCATTGTACCTCGCGGTGCTGAGGGAGCCATCTTGTTACCGCTCTCAGGGCCATAGCCCCTATCTAGCGTCGCAGGGTGGAGACAAAGCCAGGAAGGTCTGGTTTCATGTCATGCTCCGAATCAAGCAGAGCTGGTGTTGCCCTCCTGGATCAGATCGTCACTTTTCCTGGTTTCCCAGAGCTGTGCTGTGCTTTGTTCCTCGTGGTTCCTGACATCAGTAGGTGGGGTTTCACCAGGCCCCTCGCGATGTCCAGCTTTTCCAGGTCGGGGATGGGTGCTCATCTCTTCCCATCTCTTGGAGCTTTACCTCTTCTTCTGTTTATGGCCTCCTCCTGCACATCTTCTTTGAAGAGGAGTTGCTGGTGTGTCCTTCGTACAGCTGTCCCTTTCCACTCTGCTGCTAGCCTGTGCTGATCCTGTGTGACCTAAGGGGTTTCCTTTTGTGGTTATTCTTTGCTACATGCCACACACCCTCCTGTTTGTTCACTGTCTCCTCCCCCATTGACTCTGTATTCTCAGGTGGAGGTTCAATTGGTTTATCACTCTCTGGGGCGACCCTTTGAACTATCCCTTTTCTCAGTTGTCTCTTTCAAGGGTGGCATCTTTTGGGGTCTACTGCTTGGGTTGCCACTTGTGGTCATTTTACTCCAACCAGCAAACAAACCAAATGCATTTCTTACGTCTATATTTACATGTAATTGAGGTGCTGGATGGAGGGGGCCCGATAACTGAACAGACACCCATTGTACTTCAGCAGAAAGACTTTAGATCTTGGGTCTTTCCCCACTGGGCATTGGCAGCAGTTGCCCCAAGCTTTAGTGCATCCCTCAGCACATAGCTCTGGACCTTGGAAGGTACCAGTTTGCAACACTTGGTTGGGATCAACTCCTTGCTCTGGAAGACCGACAAGTTTCGGGCAGACCAATGAGCATCTTTCACCATGTTGATGGCCCTCCAGGTGCAGTTGAAGTTTGTCTCAGTGTGCACCCCCGACAGCAGACCGTAGAGCACAGAGTCCTGCATCATGGAGCTTCTCAGGATGAGCCTCAACAAAAACCACTGCATCTTTCTCCAGACTTCCTTTGCAGACAGAAAATATCCACTGCTTGGAACTCACAGCAATCCAGGGGAATCTCTTCATGATGGAGCTCCAAACAACTGGTTCTCCTTCCTGCACTTTCTTCATAGTCACTCTGACTGTGTTCTGGATACCCTGGCCTGGGGCTCAGGCACTTGCAGTGGTCATAGCTCTGGTTGGTTGTACTCTGAATTGGTGTTAGGCTGATGCCAGCCTAAAGATCCACAGATAGCAGCAGAGCTCAAACAACAATCCTCCAACGCCCAATCACGATCTTGAAATCCTCTGATGACTCACAACTCGGAACCTCCATTTGGTCTGAAGGAAAAGGCCGAGGGGTGATGAGTGGGAATGATGCAATTGCTATTCTGTCTAAATTGAGGTAGTGCATTCCTGGATAGACGCGTGGAGGTGCTGATGTTCCCATTCTCTCCTTCTTCAAGATTATGGTGGGTTAGTTCCCTGATAAACAAAAAGGACAAAACTGTTTATTTCTTTAAAAACTATTAAAGCTTCTGGAAGTACTGTACAACAAAAGGAAAAAAAAAGCAGCAGTTTTCTATTGGGGAAGTGTAAAGATCCAGCCAGGAATGAGATCACTCTGTCAGCTATCAATCCACTGATTGGGCAGTGAAAGATTATCTCTTCAATGTGGAACATGCTACAATCGCTGTGGTAATTCAGTCCAGTGGCACTGTTAAAGGGAAAGGGTAGAGGCACGGACACCTGAGAGTTTCAGACTGCGTCAGTAACTAAGTATACATCCACCAACTAACTACCACCAGACGTTTAAACAGTTCATTGCACTCTGCTGCCTTTGCACTTTCCCAGTTGAGTGCATCAGGGTTTTTCAACACTTCATTGCACCATCTGTTTAAAGTGGCCCTGAGTGAAATGTGACTGGTCTCAGTGGAATTTCAAACAGATGAACAGTAAACTGTTGAAGAGCTCCAATGTGGTATCCCAGCTGTTGACTTCATTCTCTTTTACAGCATTTCAAGAACCTCAAGAGTTGGAAATTTAAATACATTATTCCAAATACCCAGAAGAAACCAAGAAATTAATCTAAATATGGTTTACAGTTCAAGCAAAATGATCTACAAATTGAGATGTAGTTTGTGTTTCGTTTCTAATTTCATTACTGAGGGTGATAACATGTTCAGCAGCAATTATTTTAATTCTAATACTGTTTGATCAAACTTTCATGATTTCAGCAAGTCAAGCTGCAATCCAGTGCTTAATATCATTCAGGTTCATCTAATGTAGAGCTATATTAACACTGTAGACTGCTGCCTGGCTAAGAGGCTTACTCACTGCAGTTTCCCCTACCTGTCATCTCCCGCCACACCCCACAACCCCACCCCCACCACCACTGTTTCATTCCCCACCCTCTCCCCCCACCACCTCAGTCCCTCCAATCTCCTGGGAGAAAGTACAACAGCAGCAGCACGAAGAGAACTTGCAAGAGGGCTGTCCAGTGCTGGCTTCTGTGAGACCTTGTGTTCCAGCTTAAACAGGCAGAATCCTCATTCAAATACTTATACTGAGGTTCTATTCAAGGATGGTAACAGCTTTGTCATGGACTGAATGGCAAAGATTAGTCCATGCTTTTCCCACCTACAGGGCCCTGTCACAGAGTGATTCAATGCCAATCCTTAAAGAATGCTAAAAAAAAAGTAGTTTCTTTAATACAGATATAACACAGTGTGGAGCTGGAGGAACACAGCAGGCCAGGCAGCATTAGAGGAGCAGGAAAGTTGATGTTTCAGGTCAGGACCCTTCTTTGGAAATGCTGGCTGGCCTGCTGTGTTCCTCCAGCTCCACACTTTGTTATCTCTGACTCCAGCATCTATAGTTCTTGCTATTTCTAGGTTCTTTAATACATTACTTTCTTAGGGGTCAGGGACAAGCAGAAATGCTTCCTTTGACCTCACAAACTTCTCAAGTCCACTTGCAGCCCCTTAAAAGACACTTCCACCGAGCCTCAATTGTCTCCCTCCACTCCAGATCCAGAGCTTGATGTAAGGGCCATCCTTCTGCTATTGGTGAACTTTCTGGTGGTGCCCCCTCAGTACTGGCAGCTTCCCAGTCTCATGCTATCACCCAAGACATATCGAGTCTCTGATTACTGCCATCAGGTGTGCGGCACAAGTACGATGCCCACTGCCTGCCCGCACATCACATCCAACCAGAACCCATGCTGAGAAAAGTGCCATTAAATCAGAAATAGTCTGTAATTGCAAGCTAGCCCTGAACTTGTGAGTATGATTGGCAAAATCCCACATCACAAGTTCGACAGTGGAAAACTGAATCTATTCATAATTCTCTTGTTCACTCTCTTAGGAAATAGAAATGGCAGGTTTTCTAAAATCAGGTAATATTTCCTGCACCCCAAAAGCTGTTCTAATGTAGAAAAACAGATGTTCAAATTTTAACCATTTTCTCGCTATTCCAAAATCTGTAATGCTTTTCACCCTGTTTAGCATTTACTTGTATCCTGGGATTTAAAAGTGTTGAATGTTTCACTCTTCAAATTTTCTTACAGAGTTTAGGTGTGGATACTATCCCACCCTCAACTACAACGTCCAATCAGGATTCAGAGTTGAAACTCTCAATTGGTTTTGCGGATGTAAATGGTAAGATCATTTTTCCGTGATGCATGAAGTATAATCTGTAGTAAAGGTTTATATTAAATGTGGATGTAACTAAGTAAGCCTTTAAATGAAAACTTTGATTTAACTTATTTTCTTATTCATTTTTAACTTCCATTATCTAGCTTTTAAATTTCAGTCTACTCCAGCCAACTCCAAATTCACCCCTATGTAATTACCCTCATTTTAAGTTTAGTGCATTGATTTCAATCTAGGTTTCTTGCTCTCAAACTGAATGTTACATTCAACTGTGTTATGGTCACTGTTCCCTAGAGAATCTTTCACTCTGAGATAATTTACTAAACCAACCTCATTACACATTGCGAGGTCCAAAATAGCTTTAGCTCTGGTAGAATCCACGACATATTGTTCTAGGAATCTGCTTCAAATATATTCTATTAATTCTTCCTCATGGCTACTTTTGCCAATTAACAAAAAAAATGGGGAAGCATATAGAAGTGAAAGGAAACAGACTCAGAGGAAGAGGAAGAGAAATACAGAAATGAGAAGTTTTCAATTAAACAAAATAGAAACATGAACAAAAGGAATTTTGCGAGAGTCATGCAGAGAGAAAGTTAAATAGAAGGCACACAAAGGCCTAAGGATATGAATAAAGAAGAAAGATAATTAACCCTCAAAAGAATGAATTTGATTTGGCTGGGATGTGAAAGCATGAAAATTCTAAACCAGGATCCCAGCCTCATCAATCCAATTTTCTTCCAGTTTTAGTGAAAGTGTTGGGACAAGGAAAGGCAGAATTTAACTCTGTGAACTCTGTATGCTCATTAAGGTGTAGATCAAGCCCAGAATTCAAAATACTGCTCTAAATAGGTTCTAATCATGAACTTTATATAGGCATACCGTAACTTGCACCTTTGCATTCCAGCTTCCTTGAAATGCAAGCTAACATTCCATTGGCCTTAGCTTTGTAATAATCCATTAGTTTATTATTTATAATTTATAACTTATAGACCCTAAATCTCCCTGCTCCATAGTTCTCACCATTAAGGAAATATTGCAATCTATCCTTCTTCAGTCCATAGTTAATGATCATACTTTTCCCCATACTGAAGTCAATTTGCCAGTTTTGACCACTCACTTCAGAAATCAGAGGACATTTGCAATCTTTTGTTCCCATTCACAATTCTCGCCATGTCACCTAACTTGATATCATCAGCAAGCCTTCATATGATACTTATAAATGACCACCCAACATTATTATATTTTTGAATGCAGCGATAGAAATGTGCCAAAACCAGTGTCTTGTTATTGAGTATTGTCTTTGACTAGAATATCAGCTCAGTTATTTTTAGATCTCAAGTAATGATGTGTATAAGATTGTGAAGTATGACACACATAGATGTTTTCCTATTTATTGTGAAATCACGTTTGCTTCAGAATTACATCTGGAGTGGCATACATCTATTGTCTGTTTTCAGACATTATCATTGCATCGTATCAGTTATATTTGACTATGATTCATGCTCATTTTCTATTTTGCTGAGAGGCTTAAATTAGCATTAGTGCCAGCAGTACTTGTCATGATTTTAGAGCCACCAACCAGCAATGACTCAAGCTGTAAGAACGGAATAAACACTTATGCTCCTCCTTGCTGAAGAGTACTTTTGGAAAATAAATTCACTTCACTTGCCAGCTGCTTCAGAATATTGAGCTGAGCAGGCCCTACACTGCTTTGCAGATCCATATTCCTAAAGAGACCTAAAACCACTGTGAGCCTTTCATCTACATGCCTACCCTTTATCACAGCAAAGCAAATGAAAGAGTTATGGAAAACAGAAAGCAACCTTTGGAGAAGTGATAAGCACAAGCAAGTTGTCGCATTTTTCTGTTTTCCACCAAGTCTTGAACCTTCTGATTTGAGTTTGTGCTGGAAGCATGTATTCAGTTTTGTACCCCAAAGTGAGTTACAACAAATTTCACTGCCAAAGTTTCAGTTTTGTGTTGTGGCCCATTTGGAATTATTCTTCAAATAGAATTACACAGTGTGCCAGGACATCCCCAACCGTCCCAGACCAGATGGTGAAAGATAACCAGGAGTAGGTGAAGGAAGACCTCAAGGGGCTCTCAATTAGGCCCAGAGGACCCATGAAGAAGGTAACACCTCTTTCCTGCCACCAGTCCCCACAATGAAAGCTACAAGGCTGGTCAATAGGCATAGGCCTCTCTCTCTACACGTTAAATTCCAGAGGTGGTGGAGACAAGGCTATTGTTTGGCCATGTAAGAGCCCAAATTGCTACATGCAGAGATAGCCCAACACTGGGCCATTACTGGTAATATTGCAGCAGGGGCAGTGGGGAACAGGTGGATTGTAGGCACAGAACATGTGGCATTTCATTGGCCGCCCTCATACAAGCACATCTCTGGGAATTCTGTAACTCTCACAGCTGAGGCAAAGGCCATTCAGCCTTCAGTTGTGCCTGTGCTGGCTCTTTGTAAGAAATGACAGAATTAATTCCACTCCCCATCAGCATTCATTTCACACAGAACCCTTCCATCTGGTAGACAGAGGAGACCTTCAAGGCTGGGTTCAAACCAAGGTACAGGAGGTGAGTAGAGAATAAACCAATCCTGCATTCCATTCTGCTGGCCAGATTTGCTTTTTGATAAAAGAATCTTATAAGTTTGCAGTTACTTTGCTCTTTATAGTACCATTGAATTTTAGTTTTGCCAATTCATTCTGCTAGAGTCTCTCAATGCACTGGAAGACACCGACTTGGATGCCTTAATGGCAGACCTAATGCAGGACATCAGTCAGACAGAGCAAGTCTGCAATGCAAGAGCCATGACAGCTACATCTCAAGCTACCCCAGCTTCAAATTTTTGGAGTTCCAATGCAATGCCACATTATTCAGCGATTCCCTCAGCGTCACAGAGAGGATATGCAGAGCAACCAAGCCTAGATCTCCCACCACCTCCACCTGACATGGTTCCACCACCCAGTTCAGCTTCTGTGTCACTTCCACCACCACCACCTCTGGAACCACCAGAACCATTGACAGAGGTAAGAGTTCCTTTTTCCAAGAAAAAAATAACCCTTTGAAAATACATCGCAAAATGCTAAGGCTTGCTGTCTACCCTGATAATGAAGAAACAATCTTGGAGGGAGTTCTGTACCTACAAAGCTGTAGTTCAGCACAAATCAATATCTTCAAGAGTTGAGGAGGGAAAAGAAGAAGGAACTGGGTGAGGAAATTATATAATTAGAAAGAAGTATGAAGTTGCATTTCTTGTGATTAAGGACACATGGAGTTTTGCTGACTATAGTAACATTTATATTTGTGTTAGTTGTTGAAAACAAACTTCCTGTATTAATGCCCTGAAAAGCCTTTGGAGTTACAGTAAAACAAGTGTTTGATTACTTAAAACAAAGATTTACAGTGTCAATTATAATAGTTAATTCTATGCCCCATGTTAGTGATTATGCAAAGAAGCTTAAAAAGATTGCATTGCCATGGTGAAAAGCTCGGCAAGATATTTACCTCTTTGGAAAACAGAAGGGGCCCATCTGATGGCTGAAATGGCTCAAGGCTGAACACCACATTTTAGAGAGGAAAGATCTTGCAGAGGAATTAGAGAAGATTTTCAAGGATGAGCCCAGAGATGAAAGACTGCAGTTATGTAAATGTTAGGAATCTGGTACTGTTCTCCTTAGTGAAGTTAAAGACAGATGTATAAGAACTGTTCAAAATCATAAAGGATTGTTCTATAGTAAGTGAGAAGAAATCATTTCCAGTGACAGGACTGTTTGTAATCAAAGAACTCAAATTTATGATATAGGAATTGACAAACGACCCAAGGGAAAAACAGATCAAGATCTGCAATGTACTGTTTGAAAGGAAGGTTGAAATTATTTAATAATAACCTCGATTAATTGTTTGAAAAGAAAACATTTGCAGGACTATGGGGTAAGATTGAGAGATTTGGTCTGAGCATATGTCTTTCAGAGAGCCAAGATAGGCATGATGGCCTGAATGACCTCCTTCTTGATGTATCAATTTATGGATTCCATAAAATAAAGTCAAACCACATTAACACTTATAAAATGAAACTGCATCCAGTACAATTCCAGCAACATACTGACAGGTGTTATTGACAGTTAGAAAGGAGACCACATGTGCAAAATTCCTATGTATCTTTTTCAGACTTAATAGTTACAACCGGAATTGTGGGAAAAGTACGTTGATATTTTATATTTTCTTTGTCATAGTAAGCTATATTGGCACATTGCAAATGTGGGAACAGTAGCACAGAGTTGATGTTACTGAATTAATAATCTAGAGCTTTGCACTTGTGCTCTGAAGATAGGGAAAATTGACTCCCTTTTAAAATGCTGTGGATTGACTCAACTGCTGAGATGGAATTTACTGCAGCTATCAAGATGTGAGCAGAGTTTTCAGAGGAGGTTGTTAGATGTAGATTGGCCTGAAGCCTCGTAAGTGAATTGGAAAGCAATAACCCAATCTTTCAATATTAACAGGTATTTAATAAAATCTGCATATGCAACTTGGTTCACAACTAATAAGTCTTTCCTTATGGCATTCCCTAACTGTGTACCAGGTTTCTGTCAAAATCTATCCATTAGTTTTTAAGATATATTGATTATTCTAAGATATATTGACAAACAGATTAACAGACTGACAAACAGTGGCAAAATCATTACCTCTGGCCACCTTCAACATAACGGGTAATAACAAAGATTTTCCCAATAATTCTTGTAGCAATCTGCAGGATAAAACTCCAAATGTCCTATTTATTCCCACTCTGCTTCCTGTCCATTGACCAACCCTTCATCAATGCTAATTTATCATTATTATATTAACCCAGTTCAATAAACTGTAATTTTTCCAGGGAGTGGAGAATGATGGAAAGAGATGGGAAGGCTGATGAAGGAGAGGACTCAGAGATGGTGGTGGGGGAGTAAAGTTTGGTGATCGAGAGGACCGGGAAGGCCTGGGGACTGGGTGAGAGGCCGGTCATTGAGAGGATGGGAGGAGAGGCTGGTGATTGAGAGGAACTGGAGGAGAGACCATTGAGAGGATGGGTGGAGAGGCTGGTGATTGAGAGGAATGTGGGTGAAGCTAGTGATTGAGACGACTGGGGAAATCCCTCTGTACCTGGGATCAGCTGAGTGAACCTTCTCTACACTGCCTCAAATGCCAGTATATCTTTCCTTAGATTAGGGGACCAAAAAATACATAGTATTCCAGCAGTGGTATGACTAGTGCCTTGTATAGTTTTAGCAATAGATCTCTATTGTTATATTCCATTCCTTTTGAAATAAAGGCCAACATCCCATTTGCCTTCCCTATTAACTGCTAAATGCCTGTGCTAACTGAGCAGATGTATGCATGAGGACTCCCAAATCCCACCATGTAGCAGTTTTCTGCCATCTTTCTCCATCTATGCATTTTCCAGGGATCTTTTTCATAAATCCTAAAAATTTTTCTGTTTCGCAGGAAGAACGAGAAGCCCGGGCAAAAGCTGACAAAATCAAACTCGCTTTGGAAAAGCTGAAAGAAGCAAAGGTTAAAAAGGTCAGTAGTTTACATACATGGTACTACAGTGATAATATTAGTAGACTCATAACTCAGAGGTCAGGGGGCCAAATCAGAACCTGCCAAATTTTGAAATTGAATTTTAAAGCTCTGTTAACTCATGGCAAAGACTCCACATTATTTCAGTGGGACTTCAAACTCTCAAGGTGAGAAGTTAACGTCCTGAGAGGCAGAGCAGCTAGGTCCCTCAGAGTGGAGGGGAGACACCTCTGGGTGCATTGAATGTGCCCTTTGTGCCAGCACACCCTCTGTGGGCCACAGAGCCACTGGCTCTGATGGGACCCTGGCCTGATGCTGGAAGGTAGTCTCCATGGAGACGGCAGATACTGTATGTGGTGAGGGGCCAACTTACTGTTGGCCAAATACTAGCTCCCCCTCAAAATTAATTTAATGTTTATACCCAGTGTGATTGGCTACCTGTACCACAGAGATTAATCCGGGTTCCCATTGGAAACTTTTCATACGAACACAAGAACAAGAGTAGGCGACTCAGCCCTTTAAACCTGCTCTGTCGTTCAATATGGTTATGGCTGATCTGATTTTAACTCCCACTCTACGTTCCTGCACATTCCTAGTCATGTGTCTATTAAAACCGAAAGTAGGTGGGATGATGCTATGATTTAGACCTTTGATATTTATCCTCCCTCCTGACCAAAAATCACTCATTTCTCATGGTTACAATATCCCCCGTGAGTGGAACATCATTCTGGATGATTTGCTGGATCTGGTAGGGGTTGGACTGAGAAAGAAAGGTGCAAGGTGTCTCTACTCCCTCATATCTGCGTAAACCTTGTGTCAATGCTATCTAATCATTCCTATCATCAACATTATTATTCATGGGTCTGCTGCGATTGATTATTTAAACTTAACTTGTTAACAGAGGCTGAAGAATGCCAATCAGTCCTTAAAAAGCATTAAACCTTCATTTCTCATATTACTTTAATGAGTAAAAATAAAACAAGGTAGTTAACAATGGAAAACATGCTAATTTAGTTTTCCCACTTATTTATTAATATCTAATTCTCTACTGAAAAGCAAAAAGTGTGATTTGCTTGTTGTTGCCATTGTCTGGGGGTTGTACACGTTGCCACAATGTGTGTAAGGAAATGGCTCGTTCCTCCTCAGACCATCTGGAGGAAATAAGGCACTTCCCCCAAGTAACAGCAAAGAACAGAACCAAAGGTCAACTTAACCTGACCGGCTGCCCTTGTGCACTTCCTGCTAACTTCCTCAAAAGCTTCACCAGCAGGAATCTTGGAACAGATGGCCTACCTGCCATTTCACATTGCATTCGATGAGAAGAAGTTTACTCTGATTAAGTACTGGGGAAACTAAAGCCATTCAAATGGCTATTCCCTGCCCCAGAATGGCCAGTTTGAATACAGGGAGCTGAGTAAATGGAGGGGAATTATATCAGGACAGTTCCCAGATGCATTTCCATTGCCAGCAAATTTTTCTATGGATTATGGAAATGAAGTTCAGCATTGGGTGGGGCGTTGCTAATTGAACCAACACTTATTACCCAACCCTAGTTGCCCTTGAGAAGGTAGTGAACTGTGTTGTTGAACTGATGCAGTCCATGTGCATGTTCCCAGACTATTGAGGAGGAGCAGTGAATTCAACTAATTAAGGACACAGTTAGGTCACAGTTTAGCCATCTATAAATATGCCATTGTTCTGCTACATGCAGGGAGGCTTCTTATTGTCAGCAGAGGCAGCTACCCCCACAAAGCTGGCCTCCCTCTGCAGACCAGGGAGCCATCAGTTCTAAAAGCTTTATATTCCAGTGATGTTACCACTATGCTACAATCCCCGTGAAATATGGAGAAATACTGGATTGTCAAGTGGAATCAGAAATACATTTACAAAGAACTTAAGTAAGATCCTGAGATAACAAGGTGTAGAGCTGGATGAACACAGCAGGCCAAGCAGCATCAGAGGAGCAGGAAAGCTGCTGTTTCAGGTCTGGATCCTTCTTCAGAAATGGGGAAGGGGAAGGGGATTCTGAAATAAATAGAGAGAGAGGGGGAGGCAGATGGAAGATGGATAAAGGAGCAGATAGGTGGAGAGGAGACGACAGGTCAAGGAGTCAGGGCTGGAGCCAGTAAAGGTGGGTGTAGGTGGGGAGTTAGGATGGGGGTTGGTCAGTCAAGGGAAGATCCTGTTATGATCCCCAAAGGTACAGATATCTTTTAGTCAGAGTTTTGAATTCCTGTGACCAACTCAAGGTGAGTACTTCACCTGATGAAGGAGCAGCACTCTGAAAGCTTGTGATTTCAAATAAACCTGTTGGACTATAACTTGGTGTCGTGTGACTTCCAACAGTGTCCATCCCAGTCCAACACCGGCATCTCCACATCATGATTACTTAGTAGGTAATTAACATACTAAACTGAAGAAAAGCTATTCTCACTTAACATAGCAAAATCCTCATACAACCTTTATACAATACACCACAATACAATGCTCTCTGCAGAATTGTTATCTTTACCAGAAACAGTCTAACTCTTCTTTCAGTTTCCAACAGGCCTGTTTGTCCCAGCTTCATTGAGTTGTAATGTCTAGTGTCTGTCAAAAGTTGCTTCCGTCAATCCTCTGAGAATCTGGGAACTGATGTCCAGCAAGGTGCACTCCAGCAATTCCTTCTTAATTTCCTACAGACCCCATCTCTTGAGCAGAGAATGAGCTCCCAACAGAATTCACTCATAAGGAACTGTCTTTTCACTTGATGTTCACAGCACCTGCTGCTTTCCCACCTTTCTCTCTCTCTCTCTCTCTCCCTTTCTCTACAGGACTCTTTCTCTTTGTTCAGGGTTTCTGAATCAGATTCTACTTCGTTGATTGGATTCTTGTCCATTAGTCAGGGAACTAGTGAGAAACTCCCATTAGTTCCACAGTTGAGACCTAATGGAATGAAAGGCCTTTTAGTCACTTCAGTGACCATAATCATGCTTTCCCCTCAATTGATATTCCTGAAGGTAGATGTCCTGTCAACCCGGAGCTTCCAGCTGATCGCAGCTGATCTCATATTTCCTGACACCAAATTTACTAATCTCAGATTTGCAATTAATAAATGATCAAGCATATATGCAAAGAAGAATTCTAAACTTGCTCATCCTTTGCATGCTAGTGTCTCCTAACTTTAATTCCAAAGGATCTTCCTCTAATGTTTGGATTATGTATCTTAGTCCTAGACTCTGCAAATGGCAGAAATAGTTTCTCTCTGTTTACTCTAGCAGTTTCCCTTCATATAGTATGAATCATAGAATCCCTATAGTGTGGAAACAGGCCATTTGACCCAACACGTCCATACCAACCCTCTGAAGAGCATCCTACCCAGACTCACTCCACCCACCCTGTCCCCGTAACCCCGCATTTCCCATGGTTAATCCACCTAACAAACACATCCCTGAACCCTACGGGCAATTTAGCATGGCCAATCCACTTAACCTGCACATCTTTGGAGTGTGGGAGGAAACCGGAGCACCCGGAGGAAACCCATGCAGACACAGGGAGAATGTGCAAACTCCACACAGACAGGCGCCGGAGGATGGGATTGAATCTGAGTCCCTGACACTGTGCAGCAGCAGTGCTGACCAATGAGCCGCCGTGCCAGCACTTTGATCAAAACATTATTTGGCATTCTAAATTACAAAGGAATTGTAACTAATTGTATTTTCGGTTATTCAAGCGTTCTATCATAATCCTTGCTTTTACCCATCAGCTGGTTGTTAAGGTCCTCATGAATGATAGCAGCAGTAAAACACTGATGGTCGATGAAAGACAGACTGTGAGAGAAGTTCTGGACAATTTATTTGAGAAGTCTCACTGTGACTGCAATGTGGATTGGTGCCTGTATGAAAAAAATCCAGAACTACAGATTGGTAAGATGTGCAATTTTATAAAACTTTATCCACAACACAAAGAGAGTTTGAAGCTATAATATAGTTTTTAAGCCTTTTAATGGTTTTTGCATGCAATCGCTAGAATGTTATGTATTTATAATGTTAATTTCTCAAGTTCTAGGGCAATTAATTTGTACTTAAACACCAACTATGCCACTCTCCTGACTGGGAACTGCTTCATAGAATCATCGAATCTCTACAGTGCAGAAGCAGGCCATTTGTCCCATTGAGTTGACACCAACCCTCCGAAGACCATTCCACCTAAACCCAAACTCCCGCATTTCCAATGGCTAATCCACCTAGACTACACATCCCTAGACACTATGGGCAATTTAGCTTGGCCAATCCATCTAGTCTGCATATCTTTGGACTGTGCGAGGAAACCGGAGCATCTGGAGGAAACCCACGCAAATATTAAGGTTTCTTTTACCTTTGAAAAGCTGCTTCATTTACTCCAGAGACCAAAATATTATGCTCAGATAATGCTCAGACAGATGTAGTTCTTATGAGCTTTTTGGAATCAAACACCAGTTGCTTGTTTATGCTGTTTCTTAGAATATCAGGCTATACCAGGACTCTGGACTTCTTCCTCAGAATGCATTAGATGAGATCAGACTGCTGTGAAATCAGTCCACAGATGGAACCAGCAGCTCCTCCTGATTGCAGTGAATCAAGAGCTACCTCAATCCCAGAACTTTTAAACTCATCACAAAACAATATTTTCCAATCTTCCTGACCTTCAGTGTTTTGTTAGATGCAGCTCTAAAATAATTCCAACACTACTCAAGAAGCTTGTCACTAACCAGGACAAAGCAGCCCATTTGATTGACACCACAAACATCCATTCCCTCCATCACCAATACTCAGTAGCAGCAGTGTATACCAACAAGATGCACCGCAGAAATTCACCAAGGCTGCTTAGACTGCACCTTCCAAACCCACGACCACTTCCAGCTAGAAGAACATGGCCAGCAGATATATGGGAACACCACCACCTGTAAGTTCCTTCCAAACCACTTACCATTCTGACATGGAACCATATCATGTTCCTTCCGTGTTGCTAAGTCAAAATTCTGGAACTCCCTTGCTCAAAGTATTGTGGCTGTTACTACACCTAATGAACTACAACACTTTAAGAAGGCAGCTCACCACCAACGTCTCAAGGAGAGTTAGGGATGGGCAATAAATGCTCGCCTAACCAGCAAAGCCCACATCCTCCCTGAATGAATAAGATAATCAAAGACCAATAGAGATGATATAGTGTGGAGCTGGAGGAACACAACAGGCCAGGCAGCACCAGAGGAGCAGGAAAGTTGACATTTCGGATCGGGACCCTTCTTCAGAAGAAGTTATCTCTGACTCCAGCATCAGCAGTTCTTACTATCTCTGATAAAAGACCATCATTTGGGTACCAGGTGATGGATCGATGTTAGGAAAGAGCAGAATAGCTGTTTGTTTCGAACCATTGATGGTACTAGTTTGCTCATGGTTGGTTATTCATTAAGATTGTTTTATGCAATATTACAGCTGTATAAGAATTGTGCACTTATTCTGTTACATTATTGATGGAGACCTGTTCATCTCTGGGCATTTCAGTGTTAAGGTTCACTGAAAATATATTCTGATGGATGGTGATGGCTTTGCATTTTGTCATTAATGTATTGAGTTGAGTATCCACCTATTTTGTGTTTACTTATTCAAGGAGATTGCTTTGTACACTGCTGTTCCTTATTTTCATCTGAATCTTCTCTGGTTTGTTAATCATGGAGATCACATAGGAAAGGATGTACTCATTTGGTGCTGATTTTGTTTATCTAACTGATAGCAAAGTCATTGTCACATTGGGGCTAAACAGCCTGATGATTTGTAATGGGTTTAGTATTGGGCTCAGACTGTCTTTACTGGCAAGTAGAGGAGACGGACTACTGGTTACTATAAGCCTGGTGCCAAGGATCCATGTCACAAGCTTCCCTCTGGCACTATGGACACCTTCACATCTGAGCTGCAATTATCCAAGGGCTGTTCAGCTTGAAGTTCAGGATATCCTAGAGCCAATGATCTCCTTGTCTGCAGTCTAGTCTGAGTCCTTGTCAAACAAAGTCATGAAGTGGGCAGTCAGTCACTCTGGCATTTACTCAGGTTGGAGACTTGCTCGCTGAGCCGGTGTGTTTGGTTGCAGATATTTCATCACCCTGCTAGGTAACATCGTCACTGCGCCTCTAGTGAGGCATTAGTGTCTGTCCCAATTGTTATTTATTTGCCTCAGTTTCCTGAAGTGGTTGGCATCACTTTCAGGTCTGTTTCTCAGTGGTTTGTAAATCGGGCCTAGTTCGACATGTTTGTAGATGGAGTTCCAGTTGGGATGCTAGGCCTCCAAGAATTTTCTGGTATGTCTCTGTTTGGCTTGTGCCAACTGGGACAACAGATCCATAATAGCACAAGCCAAACAGAGACATGCCAGGGAATTCCTGGAGGCCTGGCATTCCAACCGAAACTCCGTCAACAAGCACATTGAATTGGACCCGACATACAAACCACTGAGAAACAGAACTGGAAGTGATGCCAACCACCCCAGCAAACCGAGGCATATAAGTAACAAGTGGGACACCAGAGGTGCACTGACGATGTTACCTAGCAGGGTGGCAAAATGTCCGCAATTAAATGCACTGGCTCAGTAAGCAAGTCTACAACCTCATCCACAACCCGAGCTACAAATCTTCTCAAAAACTGGCATTTACTGCCACACACTCCTTGACTTGATCAAGCATGAGAATCAGCCTTTCAGAACTTCTACGGTCCTCTCTATGATCTACTGGTCACTGCATGGGTTCAATTATAATTATCCTCTGCTTTATGACATATCGCATGGAATGATGTCATTAACCACGGCGTAAGAGCGTAGATCTGTCCATTTATTGGCTTTTCATCTTTGAATGGTCATCTGGTGACTGAAGCTCCACATAAAAGAGCAGCTTCCTGTATACCATGCAATGATCCCCACTGTCCCTGGATGGGCATCATAGGTAATCCTCACTCTCAGTGAGTACAGAACCTTCCTGTTGTGATGGAGACTGTCGGTTCTGAGTTGGCTCCTTCAGAACCATAGAATCATACAGTACTGAATAGGCCCTTTTATCCCTCATGTATGTACCGCCAAAAATACACTATTAACTACACTAGTCCCACTTTCCCACACTAGACCCATAACTTTGAATGTTATGACTCTTAAAATGCTCATCCAAGTACTTTTTAAAGGTTGTGATGTTTCCCACCTCAACTGCCCTGCTAAGCAGTACATTCTAGACTCCTGCTACCAGAAAAAGATTTTCCTGAAATCACCTCTAAACCTCCTGCCTTTCACTTTAAAATTATGCCCCCTCGTTATTAACCCTTTGATTAAGGGAACAGCTGCGTGCCATTCAAAAACAGAAATTGCTGAAGAAACTCAGTGGGTTTGACAGCATCTGTAGAGAGAAAGCAGAGTTGATGTTTGAATCCAGTGACCTTTCTTCAGAGCTTTGTCCATGTCTCATAATCTTATACACTTCAATCAGGTCCCCTCTCTGCTTTCTCTGCTCCAAAGAGAACAACCCAAGCTTATCCACCCACTACTCATAATTGAACTTCTCCATCACAGGCAACACCTACTGAATCTCCTTTGCACCTTCTCCAGTGTAATCACATCTTTCCTATGGTGTGGTGACCAGAACTGCACAATTGTGGTCTAACCAAAGTTCTCTGCGCTCCAACATGATCTCCTTGTTCTTATAATCTATGTTGCAACTGATAAAGACAAGCATCTCAAATGCCTTCTTAACTGCCCTATTAATCTGTCCTGCCACCTTCAGGGATCTGTGGACAAACACCCCAAAATCTCTCTGCTCCTCTGAGCTTCCTAGTGTCAAGACACATTCATTCAGTACTTCCTTGTCTTGTTCCTTCTTCCAAAGTGCATCACCTAACATTTATCAGGGCAAAATTCCATCTGCCACTGATCCTTCCATCTGAACAATCCATTTACAACTTCCTGTAACTTAACACCTTCCTCTTCACTATCAACCACCTAACCAACCTTTGTGTCATCTGCAAACTTACAACTTCCCTCGCATTCTCATCTGCATCATTCATGAATATCACAAACAATAAGGGACCAGCACTGATCCCTGTGGTACACCAATGCACAACACAATCCAGTCACACAAACAGCTTTCTACCACCTCCCTCTACTATCAACCATGTGCTGATGATAGTTCTCAAAACCTTGGGGAAACCATGGTTCCTGGCAGCATCCAACACCCTTCAGGAAAAGGCATTTAGTTGATAGCTGACCATCACATACCCTTACAGATGCCCGGTTAATATTTCATAGATTCCTGTAGCCAATTGAAAAGATGTAGAACCCAGAAAATTCAAAAATCTTCAATTTTCATTTGTAGTACTACACTATGCAGTTAATTTACTGTTGTTTGACGTCTTCTTCCAAAATGATACTCATGTGTGGCCTGTTTGGAGAAGGGCAATCTCATGACACATCGCTGCCAGAGGTAGGTGATGTCCAAGTTGTATTAATGCTAGACTACCAAAGCAATGATCCAGGAAATGTAGTGGCGACTTGGATTCAAAACCTGCCACAGCAGATGATGGAATCTTCAATTAAGAAGAAAATCTGGCTGTGAAATCATTGTTGGGGAAAAGCCCATCTGGTTCATTAGTGCCCCTTCAGAACGGAAACTGCTGTCCATATGGCCTACAAGTGACTTCAGACCCACAGTAATAAAAACATAAGGTTTTGTTACAACCTATACATATTTGAGTGATGATAATAGCAAGTGGGTTGCTGTGGTCTGCTATGATGCCTGAAACTCAGCACTCTGCCTTTGTCATTTCTTCCCTTCTGCAGTAGATTGCAAAGATATCTGGGTTGCTCAGACCTGCTGCTCAGTCATTCTGAACATGTGGGAAGAGTTAGGACAACTAGA